GTCTTTCTGTGTCTGTCTGTAATCCTTTCCTGTTGTCTATCTGTTGTTACACTTTGTCTTTCTGTGTCTGTCTGTAATCCTTTCCTGTTGTCTATCTGTTGTTATACTTTGTCTTTCTGTGTCTGTCTGTAATCCTTACCTGTTGTCTTTCTGTTGTTACACGTTGTCTTTCTGTGTCTGTCTGTAATCCTTACCTGTTGTCTATCTGTTGTTACACTTCGTCTTTCTGTGTCTGTCTGTAATCCTTTCCTGGTGTCTATCTGTTGTTATACTTTGTCTTTCTGTGTCTGTCTGCAATCCTTTCCTGTTGTCTATCTGTTGTTACACTTCATCTTTCTGTGTCTGTCTGTAATCCTTTCCTGGTGTCTATCTGTTGTTATACTTTGTCTTTCTGTGTCCATCTGTAATCCTTTCCTGTTGTCTATCTGTTGTTACTCGTCGTCTTTCTGTGTCCGTCTGTAATCCTTTCCTGTTGTCTATCTGCTGTTACACTTTGTCTTTCTGTGTCTGTCTGTAATCCTTACCTGTTGTCTATCTGTTGTTATACTTGGTCTTTCTGTGTCTGTATGTAATCCTTACCTGTTGTCTATCTGTTGTTATACTTTGTCTTTCTATTGTCTGTCTGTAATCCTCTTCTGTTGTCTGTATGTTATCACCATCTTTTGTAATTTGTCACCCTCCTGACTGTTGTCACATTCTGTTGTCACCCTCTTGTCTATTGACACCTTATAGTCTCTGTTGTCACCCTCTTGTATATTGATACCTAATAGTCTCTGTTGTCACCCTCTTGTATATTGATACCTAATAGTCTCTGTTGTCACCCTCTTGTATATTGATACCTAATAGTCTCTGTTGTCACCCTCTTGTATATTGATACCTAATAGTCTCTGTTGTCACCCTCTTGTATATTGACACCTTATAGTCTCTGTTGTGTCCCTCTTGTCTATTGATAACTTATAGTCTCTGTTGTCACCCTCTTGTATATTGATACCTAATAGGCTCTGTTGTCACCCTTTGTAGTTGTTCCGTTTGTGGGTTATCACCACCTGTTGTATGTACGTTGTCAACCTTTGTCTTTCTTTGTTTTCTCTGTTGGCCTACTCCGACGTTTGTTTTACACTTTTGTCACCATCTATTTTATAATATGTTACCACCCTTTGTTATATATCTGGTGTCATCCTATTCTTGTCTATTGATAACTTATAGTATAGTCTCTGTTGTGACCCTCTTGTCTTTTGATACCTTATAGTCTCTGTTGTGCCCCTCTTGTCTATTGATTCCTTATAGTATAGTCTCTGTTGTGACCCTCTTGTCTATTGAGACCTTATAGTCTCTGTTGTGACCCTCTTGTCTACTGATACCTTATACTCTCTGTTGTCACTCTCTTGTTTACTGATACATTATAGTCTCTGTTGTCACTCTCTTGTCTATTGATACCTTATAGTCTCTTTTGTCACCCTCTTGTCTATTGACACCTTCTAGTCTCTGTTGTCACCCTCTTGTCTACTGATACATTATCGTCTCTTTTGTCACTCTCTTGTCTATTGACACCGTATAGTCTCTGTTGTCACCCTCTTGTATATTGATACCTAATAGTCTCTGTTGTCACCCTCTTGTATATTGATACCTAATAGTCTCTGTTGTCACCCTCTTGTATATTGACACCTTATAGTCTCTGTTGTGTCCCTCTTGTCTATTGATTCCTTATAGTCTCTGTTGTGACCCTCTTGTCTAGTGATACCTTATAGTCTCTGTTGTGACTCTCTTGTCTATTGATACCTTATAGTATAGTCTCTGTTGTCACCCTCTTGTATATTGATACCTAATAGTCTCTGTTGTCACCCTTTGTAGTTGATCCGTTTGTGTGTTATCACCACCTGTTGTATGTACTTTGTAAACCTTTGTCTTTCTTTGTTTTCTCTGTTGGCCTACTCCGACGTTTGTTTTACACTTTTGTCACCATCTATTTTATAATATGTTACCACCCTTTGTTATATATCTGGTGTCATCCTATTCTTGTCTATTGATAACTTATAGTATAGTCTCTGTTGTGACCCTCTTGTCTACTGATACCTTATACTCTCTGTTGTCACCCTCTTGTCTATTGACACCTTGTAGTGTCTGTTGTGACCCTCTTGTCTATTGATAACTTATAGTCTCTGTTGTCACCCTCTTGTATATTGATACCTAATAGTCTCTGTTGTCACCCTTTGTAGTTGTTCCGTTTGTGTGTTATCACCACCTGTTGTATGTACGTTGTAAACCTTTGTCTTTCTTTGTTTTCTCTGTTGGCCTACTCCGACGTTTGTTTTACACTTTTGTCACCATCTATTTTATAATATGTTACCACCCTTTGTTATATATCTGTTGTCATCCCCTTTTGTCTGTCACCTTTGTTGTATGTCTGTCTTCACCCTCAGTTGTCTGTTGATGTCACCACCAGTTGTCTAGATCTGTTTTATGTATGTAATAACCCTTTGTTATATATCTGGTGTCATCCTATTTTGTCTGTCACCTTAATTTGTTGTATGTCTGTCGTCACCCTCAGTTGTCTGTTGATGTCATCACCAGTTGTCTAGATCTGTTTTATGTATGTAATAACCCTTTGTTGTATATCTGGTGTCATCCTATTTTCCAGCATCGTCAATATCCAGGGGTTACGCTAACGTTCGCTCTCTACACCTCTGGAATATGTCGTAGCAAAATTGAAGGCTAAGTGGTCACCACCTTGTTGATAAAACGAGAAAACTAGTTTGATCCTTTGATACACATTAAAATAATCTTGCGGTCATGTAACAGTAAAAATTGACAGGCTTTGAAGTTGGGCATCTCTCCTTTGTAAGCTTCAAAGGACAGGTTTCGGCTTGGCGATTGGTCAGGTTTTTTTACCTGAGACCAATCAAAATGCTATCTTTATGACTTCAATTTTGCTATGACATATTCCAGGGGTGTAGAGATCGAAAGTGAGCGAAACCCCTTGATATCGAGGATGATTTTCCAGTAGCCTTTGTTGTCTGTCTGTTGTTACCAATTATGGTTTGTCTGTTGTCACTATCTGTTGTCATCATCTATTTCACGTATGTACATTTAAAGTCACCCTTTGTTTTATTTCTGTTGTCATCTCCTTTTGTGTTTTACCTTTATTGTCTGTCTGTTGTCAGTATTAGTTGTCTTTAGTTGTCACTTTCTGTTTTCCTGTCATCATCATCATTTTCTGTTTGCTGTCAGTCCAGTTGTCTTTTGTTATCACTGTCTTGTTGCATTGTCACTACCGTTATCTGTAAGCTGTCATCCTCAGTTGTCTTACTATTTTAAATAGCTGTTGGCATTCTGTTTTCTGTTGTCACCCTCATTGTTTCTCAGTCGTCACATTCAGTTGTCAGTTTACACTCTCTGTTTTCATCCTCTGTTGTCTGTCTGTAGTCATCTTTTGTCTGTTGTCATCCTATGTATTTCTGATGTCACCCTCTGTTGTCTGTCCGTTGTCTCACTATGGTATGATATTTCCTTAAGTAACATTTAAAGACTGCATAGTACATAGGCAGTTATCCATCTTTACAGACTAATCAGTGTCAATTTTCTCATTTACCAACAGACCACAGAACAAATATTTCTGGTATGTCACCTACAACTGGACACAGTGCCAATGTTTTGGACAATATAACAGGTTTTCGGGTAGATTCTAGCCGACCCGGTGGAAAGTCTGACCCAAATCATCACAGTAACTCAGGAACAGAACCAGGTCAAGGGGAAACACTGGATCCTGTGCCTACATCAGAGAGAAATACCAAAGAGGCACCTGTAGTTATGTCAGGTCCCGAGGCACCTACAGGTAAAATTTTGACTGACAAAGTCATTCAATGACAAAGTCCTGTCCTCAAAGTAAGGTTAATGTCTGTGTATTGTTATGCAATTGTTAACCTCTAAAAGGTCACGATCACCATACATAGTTCATATTATATTCCTATCCTCTGAAAATGGTATAAGATGCATGTCTGTTTGTTGTGTGATGCAGGTTTGATACTTCAATTTTGCCTATCAATAGGCCAAATGTCCGGGTCGAGTGACATGAAAAATATACAATTTCGTCACATTGTTGTACAGGTAAACAATACAAATCGCTCACTCAGTCATATTAAGCTTGACAAAGGGACCAGTGGGTCTTGAAACGTTGCGACACGTTTGATACATACATTGTTTGTGTAAAAAGTACAGTAACAATTTGATATTACATGTGTCCAAACAAATGAATCCCATTGAAGATATATTAAATTGTTGATGTTTATTATATAAGTTAATCATGTCCTTATCCAGTGAAGAATGTTAAAGAAACCTTAATAGGCCAGTGATTTGAATGCTTAATATTGTATGGGAATACTTTTTCATAAGGAAGAGTGTCCCATACTGAAAATGGGTCTCATGCTCTGCTTTATAAAGAGTCGCAGCCCTTAATTTACCTCTTATACTGTAATCTTCATTTCCCAGATTTTGTTTGTGAGTACCTTTTAGGATGGTGGACTGATACCTACTAAAATCAAGTCTCCTACACCAATATATGGAGTTATAGCCCTTTCCTAATTCATTTTTTCATATCATTTTGGGTATAAATCCTGGCAAACCTGCAAATGTTTATGCAGGCCTTGCAAGGCTTTGCCAAGGCTTCCCTGAAAGCAGCATCAGATTACTAGGTCTGACCTTATTTCATAAATGAACAACTCTGGTCCAACTGGTCCAACCGCTTGGATTGCGATTAACGAAAGCGGCCCAAGTGTATACTAAGGGAGGTAACTGTAAGTCAAATGACAAGCACAGTATAAAGTTAAAGGTAGTATATGACCTTAACATGCAGTACATGGTTTCTATAGATGCTGCTGCTGCTGCTGCTGCTGGAACAGTTGGCAAGGTGACATGGCAGTACAAAGATGAGTATGGAGGCTGGACCTGTTACTCCGAGGAAAACAGCAACAAGATAGAGAAAACCTACACCAAGTCTGCTAAGGGCATGACTGTAATCAACGGGGGCAGGTAAGTAAAATATTAGGGGGCAGGCGTGACTGTAATCAACTGGGGCAGGTAAGTAAAACATTAGGGGGCAGGCATATCTGTAATCAACTGGGGCAGGTAAGTAAAATATTAGGGGGCAGGCGTGACTGTTATCAACAGGGGCAGATAAGTAAAATATTAGGGGGCAGGCATGACTGTAATCAACTGGGGCAGGTAAGTAAAATATTAGGGGGCAAGGATGACTGTAAATAATGAGGGCAGGTAAGTGAAATATTAGGGGGCAAGCATGACTGTCATCAATAGGGGCAGGTAAGTAAAATATTTGGGGGCAAGCATATGTAAATGATTAGTAAATAACGTAAAACATTATAGGGGGGCAGGCATGACAAATCAACAGGGGCAAGTAAGTAAAACATTCAGGGGACAGGCAGAATAGGTAGAACTCCACCTGAAATATATGTTGGATTTTTTTGTCACTTTGCACAGTGAAGATACATAATACATAAATGTGCATGAAGAAAGAAATTAGTTATTCGACTATTTTTCCAAGTGTTATGACCCTTGAAACTATAATCTCTGCTCCAGTAACGTACCTTACAAGCGCGACTCCGCCTTAATGATTTATTGTGCATAGATCAAATGAAGTGGGGAGGGGGTATATCTTTGTGAGATCGCTCATAGTTTCTCTAGTTTTCATCGAAAACTGAAGTAAATTTACTGATGTATACATAAGTACTTGTGCAATTTTCATTACTTGGAAGATATTTCTATGTTATTTTTTTTCCACACTGTAATTATATGTAGGTACCCATATATTGATTATACCAGTACTTATTCTGACCCGGTGAAATTTTAGAGTCTTATCAAATTTTAATAGATTAGCACATTGTTAAATTGCTGCATGCCAAATATATGCAATGAAGAACAATATACAGGACATCAATTGGCACATTCATAATTAAGCACAATAATTTAAGTTCAAAAAACACTAAAATAAAACTACTGCTAAGATATGAATGTTTACAGTTTATCAAATGTACTTGATTATGCAATACAGTGTGTCCTAAGCTATGAGTGTTCATATTTAACTCATTCACCCCTGAAATTTCATAATGAACTATTCCAACCTTTGAACTGGAAAAGTCCAAGTGTGTCTTCAGGGATAAATAAGTTAAGTAAATCATATTTTCTCTGAATGTTTACAGGCACAGAATCCTGCTGGCTAAAATGACGCAGGTCCACACCACAACCAAACACATGACTGCTGTTAGGCGCCAGGTGAAGTGAGGGTTTCTACGAACCTAGTAATGCTTTACAAGATATTGCTGTTAGATGACAGATCAAGTGAGGGTTTCTACGAACCTAGTAATGCTTTGCAAGATATTGCTGTTAGATGACAGATCAAGTGAGGGTTTCTACGAACCTAGTAATGCTTTGCAAGATATTGCTGTTAGATGACAGATCAAGTGAGGGGTTCTCCGAAACTAGTAATGCATTACAAGATACTGCTGTTAGATGACAGATCAAGTGAGGGTTTCCACAAAAACTTCAATACATTACAAGATCGCTAACAGATGCCAAGTCAAGTGACGGTTTCTCCACAACAGCCAAACAGATGTCTTCTGCTATAGGGATCAGCTCCAATTAGTAATTTAACCCAGCTGACAGGAATTCGACCTTCACCAAACATATGTCCTCAGCTATAGGTACCAGGTCCAGTGAATGGCCCAGGGACACGTGCACGCTCCCATCATCATCAAACACAAGACACAAAGCACAGCCTGTGGTGGATCCAGAGTTTAATTTGTACGGTTTCTGTTTTAGAATGCTTCAAAACACATTGTGTTTAACAGAAGGATGACAGATTAATTTGAATATTTAATTAAAAAGAGACAGAAAGGATTTCTTTAAGCCCCATGTAGATTTTCTACCTAAGTTTAAGTCAATGGAATAACTTTTTGCCTTATATGGGAAGAAGAACTGTTCAATTTTAATGCCGTAGCTATAATAAGCTGCTATATATGATTAGGAATATGTCTTATAAATATTCGAAAGGTAAAATTAAAAGTTTTTATAATCACAAATTAATGTCTGAAGTGATAATAGAGATATAAAGAATCTCAAATGCTTTCTCATCATTTCTGATTTTAGCCAAACAAACTTTATCTTTAGTTTTTTCATCATATGGTAAACACAAATATGTTAGAAATGCAATCAATTTTGGGGCTCGGTCAAACTCATGCATATTTTGTGAAGCTCCTGCAATCTGATTGCATTGGCAGATGGTTTCTGAATATCTTTTGAAGAAATGTCTGATTAAGATGAAATTTGCCTTATGCTGCGCCTCACTGGAGTCTAATCTCTGTCCGTCTGTCGTGCATCGTGCATCGTCCGTCGTGCGTAAACTTTTTACATTTTCGACTTCTTCTCAGGAACCAGTGGATGGATTTTTTTAAACTTGGTCTGAATCATCCTTGGTAAATGAGGCTTCAAAATTGTAAAATTGGGATTCCTACCCCAACCCCTGGGGCCAGGGCGGGGCCCCAAAGGGAAAATTAACCAATATTTCAAAAATCTTCTTCTCCAGACTCATAGGTACTACAGTTATTTTCTCTGCATGGATGGAAAGATCATCATGGGCTTTATTGAAATTGTAAATTTCAGGACCCCTGGACCATCTGTTCTTCCTTGGAGATCGGGGGGTAACGTTTACTATAGTTTATATAGGGAAATAACACTTTTGGGTATATTTTGACGATTTTCGGCAGAGAATTATTCAAACTTGGTCAGAATTATCTTTGGTGGATGAGGGTATAACATTGTAAAATTGGGATTCCTGCCCCATCCCCAGGGGCTAGGGTGGGGCCCCAAAGGGAAAATTTACCAATATTTTAAAATTGTTATCCTTTGATGACATGACAAGTATTGTATTTCACTTTGTTTACATGCTGATTCCCACATCGCATGTTAACAAGGAAATTGACTTAACAGTACCTATGATATAACTCAGGTGACCGCTACCAGTACCTATAATACAACTCAGGTGACCGCTAAGGCCCTTGGGCCTTTTGTTTATAGCTAGGGCTGCTGTGATGTGATTAAAGATGCTGTTGCTTTTTAATAATAGCAGTGACCAGTCAGCCTGCATTCCTCCAACTATATTGTTGTTTAATCTATCTATTTATTCTATTTCGGAACACCTAGCAGATAGTTGCGACTGCTTATCAAATTTGGTTGTATATCATTTGATTTGTTGTTCCCTTCTAAATATGAGTCTTGTGAACTTCAAGATATTCATTAGTTTGTCTGTATGATCTCGAGTAGAGTCCGCGGTGGAGAACGGGAAAACTTAGGGTTATGACAATATCGTATGTAATAGTATGCTACGGAATTAGCAAATAATACGATTCATCACACAACTTTTGCATTATACTGTGAATATATCATATGTCATGTTTTGGTGTTATGAACATTGTAACTGGTGTTATATATGACGTCACATTTATGACAGTACATGATGTCATAGACTTCAAGAACTGGACGATAGTCGAGGACCATTTTGTTATTTTCAGAATTTAGCATAATTTCCTGATTATAGTATGTGATAAGATTATCTCTAAGTAATTGTATGAAAGTCATCCTAAAGAAAAAAAAATCAAATCTTGCATTGTCTTACTAAAATATAACAATTGTTTTTATTTTAATTTTTGGGAGGTTTAATTTGCTGATCTTAACTAAAAAAAACTTAAACTACCAAATGTAAATCTCCTGTGGAATTCGAATTCATTCCAGATCCTGTAGTCAACCACAACTGTGATCAGACGGTCGATTAACTTATTCAAGGAGACCTTATATCAAATTACATTGGTACATGTACATGCATATGAAATGTCCTGTTGTTTCATTTGTTTTAACTGCTTGCTTTTTACCATTGCTTTAATTGTTAATCAAGTGTCAGAAGTGAAAGGTACATAATTATATCTTTCTACATAATTAATGTAAAAATGTTGAAATGTACAAAATGATTAAGCATTTTATGAAAAATATTAAATATTATATCTGAAAAATTGATATATTGACTGTGATATTGAGGAAATATTTATATGATATATACCTTTGATGGACTAAGGGATGCAAGACCCAGTACTATCTGTCTTAACAGCTACATGTGTGTAAAAAAGTTGTTAAATTAAAATATCTATTTACAATCTATCTCTGATAGCTGCTTTAAGAATATTTTTCTGTTTTTTGTTTTTATTTTTTATTTTGATTAAAAATGAAATAAGAGTTATTATAAAGTGACATAAAAAGAAGAATTTCAGTCAAATTTTCGTAACAAATGATACAAAAAGCTTTATCCAAAAATTGTTAAAAAAAAATAATATTGCAGCACTGAAAATTTAAGATCAAGATACAATGTGACAGTGTATTTCTAACTGGGGGTCAGTATCCTGGTAGAAACATGCTTTTTATATGACTTTGCTTCATTTTCATTAAAAGTAAAAGGAAAGAAAGCTGTTGATAGCTTTTCTATAGTTACAGACAAATCTCTATAGAATGCCCCTTGTGTCTTATGCCACCTCATCAACATAACTGTCATGATATGTCATTACCACTTGTTCCGATTTTCTTAATTATTCCTCAATAAGAACCCATCAATATAAATATTGCCAGTGTCTGTTATATGCTATAATTGCACTTGGCAAATGTTGACAGTATCGGTACCCCAACAAGGTTTTACTGTAGCTATATGTATAAAGCTCTCTATATGTATATAAAGCTTAACTCACAGTATATGTATCGGATCTGCATGTAAGATGTGTTTTACATGGTTTTATCACTATTCTGTAATTAACGACACAAAAATATACATTACTTTTGTAACAATAATGCATTAATGTTATGCAAATTATTTGTTTATTTCACTTTTTCCAAGAACAGTCAAATCTGTATAAAGAAAAGGGAAGACTCCAGTTTGGTCTATTAATAAAAGTGATCTAGTAGCTGTTAATTGTGTACTGATATATAAGGCAGTGGTGGAGCTGAGAAAGTGGTTGTTTGTTAAGAGAGAGCACTGCTAAGATTGATGGTCTCTCAAGTGAAATTCGACTACCGGTATATTTCCTAGCATGATCATTATTATATATCTGTTGTTGGTGGTAGACTTTATGCTGGTATTTGTTTATGAAATTATGCTACTTCTATGAAATTGAAAGTACCATAACGATTCTTATTGACAGTAGATTGCATTTGGTTTCATGTTTATGAAGAATGTAGATCTATATTGTTTGAGTGCAATCTTGTTTGTTTGATTGAGATGGTTTCCATTACAGATGGAAAGTGTGTAATCGATATTCTATTTGTAATAAATAAATGTATGTATGATAAATACATGTAGTCAAGTCTCACTAATCCAGTCACCACTAATCTGGTTGTCCCACTATCCAGTCACCACTAATCTGGTTGTCTCACTATCCAGCCACCACTAATCTGGTTATCCCACTATATGTCCAGCCACCACTAATCTGGTTATTCAACTATCCAGCCACCTTGTCCCACTATCCAGTCACCACTAATCTCCACTAATCTGGTTATTCCACTATCCAGTTACCACTAATCTGGTTATCCCACTATACAGCCACCACTAATCTGGTTGTCTCACTATCCAGCCACCACTAATCTGGTTATTCCACTATCCAGTTACCACTAATCTGGTTATCCCACTATACAGCCACCACTAATCTGGTTGTCCCACTATTCATCCGCCACTAATCTGGTTATCCCACTATCCAGCCACCTTGATCTTGGTAACCCCACTATCCATGCACCCAACACTAATCTGATCGACCCACTATCCATGCACGACTAAAATGATTGTCCCACCACACTATTCAGCCACTAATAATCCTGTTGTTTCATAATTCACCCACCAATGATAGTCCTGTGGTCCCACAATTCAGCCAACGATAGTCTGTTATCCCACTTTTCAGCCACTACTAATCCTGTTGTCCCTCTATTCAGCCTCCAAAATGGTTTTATCCCACCCATCAATAGATTTATGTATTCAGTCAGTTGTCAATTGTGTATTCAAGGAGTTTTAGTTGTCCTTCAACACAGTATCAACTGGATAGTAAGATAATCTGATTATACATTATACATAACCAGATGAACATAGCTGGACGTCTAGGTTGTTAATGACTGAATTAACGAGACTATATTATATTGTATACTTATTGCATGATAGTTGTCATTGACCATATGTATTGTTGTTCCCAAGATATATGTTTACATTCTACAGAAATAAAAATAAAATATACTTCATACAGTATTCTAATGTATCAGTTTTCATTATATGAATACTACCCGGTACATTAATTATAGTGTGATAGTGCCTAGGGTCACCCGAGGGTATCACTGTCACGCGAGGCAAAGTTAACATGGCGGCTGACACGAAGCGTATGCACATCTTCTTTGTGCGGTCAATATTTTTCCCTGTCACACACACTGTCATTCGTTGCTGGGAAGTTGGGAAGCACCCTTCCATTGACTCAATGTTAATGTCTTGACCAATCGGACTACAGGATTTTCACTAGATATATAATAAGATTATTTAATATTGGTTTGTATCAAGCTTTTCTACATGATGAATATGGCATCCAGTGTATGACATGAATGTAGATCTTTCTTTAAGGTAGAGGGTCCCAGCACTCTGTGTTGTACATTTGTATCTCCAACAAAAAAGAGTTTCAATTTGTTTGGCATCTTTTCTAATAAGAGTTGCTTGCCCATTTATTATTGCAAAGAGTTGTAGCATATGAAAGAAACTTATTTATTTTATTTAGCTCTTTCACATGATCCTCTCACAGGACGGGGCTCAATCCTGAACCTCTTAATTATTAAGCAGGGAGCTTATCCGATGCACAGCTACCATCCATGATATTACTGCTAATAATACGTGTCTGTAGCATTTCTGAAAATAATTTCAATTCCCTTAAAAAAGACACCAAGCTATTGTCTTGTTATAAATACGGGAAAGTAGTATATATCCAGCAGAAAAAAATCATAAGTTGTCATGGGACTCTGTACAGGAAGGAATTTAGTTGAAAAAACCATTGACTCTTCATATTCTATGTACCCTATAATTAAACCCCTTACTGGACCCCTCACATTTTATCAATATCATTTGCTTTATCCTGTTTCTGTCAACTGTCTTACATCACAAGACTTATCCCAACACTGTCAAAACTTATCCCATGTATTTGCATGTTGTACTCATTCATGTTGTCTTTCCTTTTGTTCTGGTGTTTCCTCCGTTCCTGTTTCATATCATTTTGGTTTCGACCTCTTCTGCGTTTCTGTTGTCTCTGCTTTTTTTGTTGTCTTCTCCATTCCTGTTGTCTTTGCTTTTGTTTTGGTGTCTACACCGTTTTTGTTGCCTTACCTGTTGTTTTGGTGTCC